ATTTGTCAGATTTGTTTATGCCTAATACCTGGCTACATTTCACGTGCAAAAATATAGGTAAGTGTAAAATGCAAATTTAATTCTGAACTTAGTAAAAAGTATCCTTGCAATATGAAAGAGATATAGATTGCAAAAGTAGAGAGGTAACCTACTAAAGTTGTATTTGAACAATTACATCAAATTACAGATTTATGAAATATAGAAATAAACTTATATTGTATGTACAAGTAGATATAAGTAATTTTGTCATCGTACGGAAACTCGCAGTTTAAACTAACTATAAAATTGTTTGCAGATGCTTGATGTCATTGATGTCATTAAGAGGTAGAAAAGCAGTGGAATACTTCATGCACTTCCAAGTAAGTTAGAAAAGCATTAGCGAAGCTACTTAATCTTGTACAAATCATATTAAAGTACACATTAAAGAAATATAAATATATTTTGTCATTGTGTAAGGGTTGGAATCTGTCTTGGGACAAACGCAAAAAGAAAAGCCATAAGATGTCAAAGCGCTTAATCGAAACGAAACAGAGCATCAAGAACCTCGTCGTAGAGCGAGAAGCGGTGGCAGTCGAGCTGCATCATCTACGACCGGAATTTCCGAAGATGGCAGTTCAGGCCAACACGCTGATTATTATACAGAAGTAAGTTTCATTTTCAAGTTACAAATTTGATTTTGGACGTTTCAGAACTTTTATAATTTAATAACAGAAAGAGATAGTAGCAATAACTTGAAAAATATGTGTAACGCTGATTGACTATCGTGTTGTGAGGGCGTAATTTTCTTAACGTTGCCGCGCTATGAAAGGTTTAATTTACTGCATGATTTAATTTATCCGTATGATATTGCAGACCGAGGATTGCGAAAGTAAGAAAAGTTTATAAGAATTACATTTGTAATTTATAGGACGTAAACATAGAAGAGGATACAGAGAGTAGTTCTGATTACATGGGTGAAACGAGTAACGATGAACACAGTGGGTGGTGGTAGCCAATCTGAAGCCAGTATGAAACCAGGCGATGATCTTGCTACAGATAGCACATTAAAACGGATTCTAGAGCAGGATTATGACCTAATGAGTATTAAGAACAAGGTAAGCTAGTAATTAAATTTTAGTTAATATACATATATATTACAGATAAGCTATAAAGCGTTTGTGCCGGATACATTTTTCAACAACTAAAAACTATTCCTGCTGTTTGCATTTTATTTATTTTTCATATTTAAATTAAAATTATACAAGGATTGTAATTTATGTTAAAAACTAATCTTTCACTGAAAACAAATATCATACAAATATATCACTGATATTTATTTCAGCTTATACTTCCGGCGCAACCTACTGTGATAAATATTCCAGAATCTCTGGCACAGCATTTCACTACGACGCAGTTTACGAATATCCCAGAGAAACCTTAATTCTCATATCGCAGTTTACGAATGTCTCAGAGAAACTCTCTGATTGTGTCGATTAATTATCGAACGGAAAAAGGAAAATACAATAGCAATGTTTTTTTTACGTATCGGGATAAGCTGTGATTATATAAAAAAAGAAAGAAAAAAATAACGGAAAACAGAACCGAGCAGGAACAGGACGCAACTGTATTTCTAGACAGTCTGATTTTGTAAATTATTCTACGAGGAAAACACTTGTGTATTATATATATATATGTATATGCGGATATGCGATATACAATTTGATATGATATATGATCTATGACGTTTGTTTATTACTATGTAAAGTGACAGACTTCGAAATTAAACATTAATTACTGTTAATCGTGGCGTTTTGAATTTACTCTTTTTCTTTTCTTTTACCTAAAGAGGATCATGAGAAAGTGAGAAAATTCCAAACGCTGCGAGAGTGCAGACACAATGGACATCCGAATTTTACAAAACGTGAAAAAACATTCGTCTTTTCTCATCTCTAAACTCCTCAGACCGTGTTAATATTTAAACAAAATAATTTACACGTCACTCATAGAGCTAGCGCGATAAAAAAATAAGTTAACATTCGTTGAAACAACATTATACATTTATGCCTAACAACAATTTTTTGTGCTTGCACTCGCGAATCTCTTGCCGACGTGATACTCGATTTTCTCACACAGAATTTCTTGCTATAAGACACAAAGGGGAGTTTACTTCTTGCGGAAAATACTCGACATGCTGGGCGATTCAATTTTCTGTTGAAGAGATCTTGTTCATCTTCTGGCGCATATCCTTGGCAGACATTCACCGTCGTCATCGATAGGGAAAACCCGGAGCTCGTCGAGTGTCCTGGAATGAAGATAATTTTTTTACAAACGTTTAAACATTTTTCGTTATCGAGAAAATGTGTACAGGATACATAATGTTCCGCGCGTGAAACGCGTGATCGAAGCGTGATCAACGGCCTGTCTTCGCAGGCATGGAATGTCTTTGTCTGATTTCGTAAATATTCGATCACGCGTTCCGCACCTGCGGTGACGAGCTTCTAACACCACGTGATTCTCCAAGGACGAGAATGTTAGACAGAGACCCGAAGAATCGATGAATAAAAGTACAAGTTATACGTTGCATGTATGCTAGGATAACTTGGCTCGCCCGAAAATTGGCCAGGAGGTAGACGTATCGTACGTCCGGCACGTCCTCGATTAACGTTAACGTCAATGATTGAAAGCCACGACATGAAATATAATAAATTATATGCGAGACGAAAAAGACGAGAAAATTTCGAAGAGAAACGATAGAATTTCATCGTCGTCAGATGATTGCAGATTAATTAATTTCAATAATGGATTTGATAGAATATCTGAACGTCATGAACAGTCTACTTGCTATTTCAAAAATAAAAAAGGATTTAAATGATTTTCTTTTAGCAATAAATCTCACCTCCTGTACTACACCGCACCGCGATGTCCCTAATTTAATTAATTTCTTTGCAATCTTCTAATTCGATAACACTTCAAATTGCAACAATTAAGAAAATAAGCTGAAGATATATAATTAGTAATCCTTAAGATATATGTAGTAATCCTTAAGTCCTAAGAAATTAATCAATCATAGTTAATTATTTTCCTCACATTCGATTGTGATTGATCAATTTCTCACAGCAGATCTTAATGGAACACTTAATAAAGTTGTAGGGTAGTATTTCATTGTCGGATCTTTTATATTTAAGGCCGGCTGGAGTAATCTTAAGAGAGAGAGAGATGTTATAAACTAATCACTCGATTGTTAGATATAACAGAGCCGTATATATTATCAACCTTAAGCCATTGTCTTGAAATAAGAACCGACTATGTATACTAGCCTTAATTTTACTCATTAATTGTTCGTTGCTTAGCAAGGAAGATTTTACAGAAAAATATATTGCTCTTTTTCTTACCTATATAACAGGAGATGAGGTAATATGCGAAATCGAAATATATACGCAAGCCGTCCGCGACTTCTCTGCATATATTTACTTCGTTTACTGTCTTCTCTATGGTATACGGTATTATTCACTTTACTCCGTTGAGGTTTCTGTTCGTAATATTCTCGGTTCGGAATATTCGTAAACTGCGTCGTAGTACAATGCTATGCTAATCTGACAAATAAATTGAAAATAGGTTAAGCACGTTTCCCGTGTTGATAAACTATAACGTAATGCGTTCCGAAACCACCACATATTCTACGTCTTACCCCCACTCTCCGGCAGCTAAACGATATACAGTTTTTCGCTTTTTTTAGCGAAACCGTGATCTAACAAACGTTTTACTTAGTATATTCGGAACTAACAAACGATTCCGCATCGATTGACCACGGTTTGAATCGAAAATTGTAAAGAATTCTATATTTACCGGCTAAATTAACACTAAAAATTATTTTTGTGATTACGTAAAAACTATTAACTAACAAACGTTCTAATTAGTCTAACAATCAATAACAAACGACTAACAATCGATTCGTAAAAAAAAAAATGTCGTAAGTCGAAATTGTCCGGCTAACTTCTATGAGGTCAAAACATACGTATCATATAAAAATAAAAATGTCCCCAAAGTATGCGATGAACCTAGAGATTTTTTGAGACCAGTCCCTAAAGTATCGAAATGTCCTCAAAATATACACACGCTCGAAAAAATGTCTTCAATATGTACATTGTGCATATATATAT